AAAATGGGGGGGTTGTTGAAACAGAAATTTCTTTTGTTTCTTAGATGTTGATGGTACAGAATAAAACTGAACACAGCCGTTGTTTGTTACAATGAAGAAGACATGGTAGGTTTCTGTATAGGCTAGTTTTTAGAGATCTTTGATCAGTGTTGGAATGTAACTGTATAAATTGAACTTGCCTCTCACTTCTTGTCAGGAAACTCGCTGAGAGTTGAGGCAGAACATCAGGGAAAACCAGAAGATTTTCTCCATAAAATATGATCCGGTTTCTCCAAAAATCTATGAATGAAGTTGCAAAGTTGTGTTTTTGTACAGTAGTCAGTGAAGACCCGGCCCCCAGAAACACACTCTGGCGGCATCTATCATTTTTTCCAAACCTAGTTCTTGTCTCATTTTGGGTTTGATAAAAAGTATATTCCTTAAATTCATGTTAAAGAAACAACACATTTGGTCTTTGCAAACTGAAATGTTGTACTTGTTTATATGCATATAGATCCGATCACATCATTCGAGACGTATTCTAATGCCAGGTGTAAACTAACGTACTTATGATCGAATCACCCAAGATGCATGTTAATGCCAGGTGTTATCAGGGCCTTTGTAACCCTGAGGTTGTTTATTCTCTGTAAATAAACCAATCCTGATCTCACTCATATTTCCACACAGGTAGCACTCAAACTGATTAGCCAACTGAGAGCGCATGTTGTGATCACACACACACTCATACTCTCCACTGTGGACACACGATGAAAGAGATACGAAGTGTTTACCATGAGACGGTTGTGCACTGACATAACTGATGTGTTGTCCCCATGGAGACCAACCTCGAGCACAGGATGTCTGCTCTGGCGATGAGAGGCTGAACAATACCAGGGACGGTGTTGTGGTGTCATGCACCAAAACACACACTGTGATCAAATGAATGGTCTTACACTTTCAAACAGCACCATTGAAATCATGGAGGACGCAGAGACAAAGACAGCGATGGAGGAGAGAACACCTGCTGCCTGCTCTGTTTGCTTTGCTTTAACTTATTAGCCCTGTGCTGTATGGGCTGATGGATGTTTGCAGGATATTGACTCCTGGGATCCAAGCAACATACTATCACACTGTGGGTATGTGGCTTAGAAATTAGTCTGTGCATATTCCCCTATTCCCACACCAAATGTTATACACTTACAGTAATTCCATCTTATTAGGTATACTCAGCTAAAACTAATACATTTTAATCCAGCAGCTCTGTAAGAAATCCTACCTTCATGAAGGCTCTAATGTGCCTTCCAAATGGTCTTTTTGGCAGCTTTTAGGAGTTTGTGCAGCTGTTGACTTTCAAGGGTGCACTAATAGATGAGCTGCAAATGTATATTGTGAGTTCTTTGAGAAAAGATTCTGCTCAAAATGACACAAGACGACAAGAGCTTTCTGAATTTTCATGTTGATGTATGAAGGGCTTTCATCTTGTGTGCTTCATGCTGAAAGCAGGTGCTTTCCCCTATTCTTCTCAGGTAAGGATAGTGACGTGGTGGTGGTGGCAGGAGGCTGACCAGCAGTAGCAGTGAGAAGTGGAAGGGGGCTGTGGATGTATTCAAGTTTCATAAGTACAATGGGTCCTGATTTCCATTTTTTCCCATATAATAGGCAATAGTGTAAACCAAACTCCAAAAACAAACAAACATTTTGGCCAACCTTCACGCTTTCTAGTCCAAACAAAGGAATTCTCACAGATAGAGTCACATGACTGTTTCAACTTACTTAGTGAATAGAGCGAATTTCAGTGAGCAAACTAACATTTTGACAAGTAATGTCCAAGAAATACCAGAATAAATTACAAGAAATGGCATGTAAGCACAATGGTCAATTTTAATAATAAGAATAAAATATTGATTTGCATTGTAGTCATCATTGCAATGTCACCTTCTTGTCCAGGCCTTGTAATTCTTTGGATACCACAGAATATCAAGTCTGATACTTGGTCCTTGAAGCGCCTGGCCACTGGAGAGTGGGGTTCATCTCTTCTGACTGCAGTCTTGTGTTTTTTTATTCTTATTTTCAGTTGTCTGCTTTGCCAGTGCACTGGAGTTTGTAGGGACATAGGTACGGTAGAAAACATTGATGACCTCTGTGAAGTTTGACTCTCTTTGTGTGACCTGCAGTGTAATTATATTTTGTTTCATTGACCGACAGTCTTACAGTCATGACTCAGCCTTATGGAGCACTCTGGTTTAGACCAACAGAGAAACACCATCCATCTGTTGGATGGCGGACTTCTTTTCTGCAAGGCCAAGTCTTCCCTATCAGCCTTTGATTAACTATTCAAAATACAGTATGTGTTTGGCATCTCCTATAACCAGGTCTTAAACAGCATGTACAAATTTGTACAGACCACCATCTACAACAGTGATGTTGGTCACTCTCACAAAACTCCCAGAGTTAAGGACTTCAGGGCTGAGCTCCTCACCTGAAGAGTTATGATCTTTACATGCTTTGTTTGCAAGTCTGCTTTTGTCATCATTCAACAGGCCAGTCATCTCATGCTATCACATTACCCTGAAAGTGTTGGGAAAAATGAAAAATGCAGGAGTATGTGAACCATAGAGTCCTTTTTCACTCTCCAAGTGTTAACTAATCCACTCTGCAAAGTGCTACAAAAACCCGCAAAAACCCTCCTTTAGTGTTTTACTCACAGAAGGGTCTAGGTTTACACTGCAGGTGTTGGAAAGTCCTGAAATGGTGTCAAACAGTAGCCGTTATGGAGTATATTTGCATCCTCCCTCTTCAAATGTAACTATATTTGAGCATATATTTTACACTTTTGACAATGTTCAGTGAAAATATAATTGTTAAACTTACACTTCTCTGTTAGGATTAGAGTTTTTTATGGTACAACTCACAGGGTGGTACAGTGGTCTGTTGGATAGCGCTGTGGCTTCACAGCAAGAAGGTTGCAGGTTCAAACCCTGGTTGCCCTGGCCTGTTTGCGTGGGTTCTCTCCGGGTGCTCTCGCTTAGAAAGCTCTCCTTGCTTTGTCCCTCAAATCTTTCACAGCCATGTTGAGGTTTCCTGTGTATGTAATGTTGAGGCCAAGGTAAGTGTAGTTTTTTTGTATGTTGCAATTTAGTGGTGCCTAATTGGAAATTGTGTGTAACCTGATTTCTGTATTGTTTCTGAAAGATCATTATCTTAGTCTTTGCTTTGTTTGCTGTCAGGGCCCATGTCTGACAGGATCTCTGCAGGAGGTTAAGGTGCTGCTGCAAACCTTCTTTAGTAGGTGAAAGCAACACTAAGTCATCTGCATACAGCAGACCTCTGACCCCCCCCCCCCCCCCCCCACCTGTTCCTGTTGGTAACCCAGCTTCTTACAAATTCTATTACTAAAACCTCTCTAGATGGTATTCTTATAGCAGGCATAGAGATTGTGATAAACCAACTGGCGGACAATACTACACTTTTTCTCAGAGATGATACACAGATTTATGCTTCACTTAAAGTAATAGAGCCATTTTCCAAAGCATCTGGTCTATTTCTGAACATTAAGAAACGTAAACTCATGGCTGTTAAAAAAACTTCTACAGAGGCCTAGTTAACTCTAACCCTATTATTAAAAAGACTCAAACAAAACTAAATCAGTGGTTACAGCGGGATTTATCACTTAAGAGTCCTTATTAAGGCCTTATTAAGGCTGAAGTAATATCTAGGCTGACTTATGCTGCTCTGTCCCTGTATCTTGATGACAAAGTGTGCTGGAAAATAGACCAAATGCTGTTTAATTTTTTGTGGAAAAAACGTATTTATTATATTAGGAGGAGTGTTATTATGAATACCTATGAGTATGGTGGGCTAAACTTTCTGGACTTTTCTACGTTAAATAAGACCTATAAGATTAATTGGATTAAATAATTTGTAAAGAATACGGACTCGATGTGGAACTTGATTCCCAATCATGTATTCTCTATGTTTGGTGGCCTTAACTTTATGTTGGTTTGTAATTATGATATTGACAAAGTACCTGTTAAGCTCGCTGCTTTTCACCGGCAGGCCTTTTTGTCATGGGCCTTAATTTACAAACACAATTTCTCTCCACACAGATATTATATCTGGAATAATCGTGACATTCTGTATAAAAACAAGTCCCTCTTCTTGGGATATTGGTTCAGGAATATAATTTTACTGGTAAGTCAGCTTGTAAATGAGGAGGGTTTTCTTCTTACTTCTTACCTTCAGGTTGTATCTGCATTTGATCCTGGTGACTATCCAGTAGGTAAAGTCTGCTTCTCTTCCCATCCACCTAACAACAGAGCTATTTGTGCCTTGTTCCAACAAGAAATAGTTTCTATTCCATATGTCATGTATTATTGGAATAAGTTTGTCAATGATCTGTGCTGGAGAAACATTTGGATGTTGCCCCATAAATATTTACTTATTTACAAGGTTATGGAAGTATCCTTTAAGATCATTCATTGTGTGTACCCCACTAAGTATTACATGAAGAGGTTTAAAAATGACATCAATCCTAAATGTACTTTCTGTGAGACTCATATAGAAACGATATTACATCTGTTCTGGCACTGTACTTTTGTAAAACAATTTTGGCAGGATGTATGTACTTTTATTAATGATTATATTTATCCAGGTTTCAGCTTGTTCTGGAAAAATTTTCTTTTTGGGGTTTTCAGTAATGAAAAGCAGCACTGTGACCATTATTTTAAATAATAAATTTAGTTTTGTTTCTGTCAAATTTCATATACATAAATGCAAATTTATAGGGGAAAAAAACTATTTATGGTCTTTAAGAAGGAAATTGAACTTTATTTATATGTGTTGTAAGTATCCTTGTATGTTGTATTGTTAATACTTTTGTACTAATAAAGGCATGGGGGGGGGGGGGGTCTACGGCATCCACCCGGCGCCAGGCGGCGCTGCATCCACCAGGATCCATCAGGGATCCCTACGCAGTGCGGGCAGTACCCGGCGCGAGGTTTTCGGTAAACTCCGACTTGAACCCGTACAATAGCGAAAGAGGCCGAGCTGCAGCGGAGCTGTCCGGAACATCCGGCTGCAGCTCCTCAACATAAACAGCAATGGCGGAGGCAGCAGTAGCGTCTACGGCGGCTTCAGCAGTAACAGGAGGTTGGACCAAACACGTAACCTGCAGGTAAGACAAGACACATGACTATTAAAATATCGAAGAAGATTATATCGTCTATTGTTTCACACCAAAATAGTGGCGATGCGTTGGCTGGCGAGCGACTGACAGAAGCGTTTTCTGAGGCTCGGCTCAGCTCCTGGCTAGCTAACTGTTCCTAGACTGCTGTGTTGTTGTGTTCGCTGTGTTGTTGTTCGCTGTGTTGTGGTCACATCGCAGACTGGTGTGCTAGGTTGACGGCCAGTTTGCTAGGTATGTTTTGAACGATGAACTCGGCTACCAGTAATGCCAGACTCTAACGTTAGACTCACATTAACGTTACGCAGAACAGCTTCCATACAATAGAACAACAAAACCCATAATGCCAGTGTTAACTAGAAGGTAACTTAGCTGTTCACAGGCACTCAGCACACGTTCACTTTAAAATGAACCAACGGTTAGAACCAGCGAGCTTTGCTGGTTGGTGAGTGTAACTTGCATTTCTTAGTAGCTAGGTGCCACGTCCAGGTTACATTAGCTGCCGTAACCAGTTCATTTGTTTGTTGTGACCGCGCAATATTAGCCGGATTGCTTTACTAATATGAAAGTGAAAGACGACATCTACACACAGCTGCCTCGATTTTTATTTGTAGCGGGTTGTTCAGCCTTTTAAAGTTAACACAACTCCGTGTTATGAAAATAAACAACTGTTTCCTGTTAAAATTCTAGTTATATGGGTCTATTAACTAAACATTGTTCTTATTTTGTATTTTCAGATATTTCATGCATGGTCTTTGCAAAGAGGGAGACAACTGTCGATATTCTCATGATCTGACCAGCAGCAAACCTGCAGCCATGATTTGCAAGTTCTTTCAGAAGGGAAACTGTGTGTTTGGAGACCGTTGCAGGTAAAGACACAACTAAAATCAAAAGTTCTTTGACACAAAACCCCAAAATGATTCAAATGTGGATGGAATTAAAAAGGCTTGGGTGTTTGTACTCAACTGGCATGCTCAGAGTCAGCTGTGCTCCCAGTTGTCAGTGGAGCAGTATTATAACTTCCTTTCTAAAACCAGTTATACTCTCAGCCAAGTGACAGCACAGCAGCTTTGGTGGGGGTTTCTCAGAAGTGTTGCAGCATGCTGCTCAAGTGGACCTGACACCTGAGACTGCTGCTTCCTAATGTCAACATGTTGTTGGTCTGCGTCTGTGGCAGCTCAATGTTGGTCCAAGGAACTAGAATCACTCATCTGGCATTTCAGCACTGCTCTGCTGGATGAAACTGTGTATTATAAAATGTGGAGAAAATCTGAAGTTCTGTGGAGCCAGTGTAGGTTCAGCATGCCTGCCAGCATACGCTTCCCTCTGCCTGTCTCACCATAGGTCTTTGTTAAGATGGAAAGGACAACACTTCCAGTACATGCATGTGCGCTTGGCTGGTCATTTTGGTAAAATGGGAAGATTCTTTTGAGCAAATTTGTGTTTTGTCAAAAACCTACATGATACACATGGGTCTGGTCTGTGTTTGAACATCAGTGTTTTATCTTAAAGGACCATACCACTGAGCTAACCATCTTGGTTTTGTTTTAATTCATTTTCTGTTTTATGTGAAAAATCAAGTTGAAACATTGTTAACTATGTGTATATTATATCGCTTAGTGTTTTGGAAATAAAGTGATCCAGGTTCAGGTGTGATGAAGGGGTTTCGGAGACTGATGAAGACTTGCACAGTGTGGTTTAATGAGACTCGGCCGAGGAGACGCAGTGCTGGCATACAGTTTGTGAACACATGCAATGCCAACACAAAAAATCTGAAGAATTCTTCCTGTCTGGGGATATTTATCCTTCGTAGATCTTCAGAGATTTGCTAAGTGTCCAAATAATGTTGTTGTTCACCCCTCTAGACGTGTGAAGGTTCTTTTGGTTATTTGTTCAAATCAAGACACTCTGCTTTCCCAAGTTAACCTTTGGTAAGCACACTTGTGTGTCATTTGAGCCACACTTTCTACATAGAGCCACTCAGTCTTCTGTAACGAAAAAAAATAAAGATAACCCCGACCTTGGGTTACCTAACAAATGGATAGCAGTGCATCATTATCAAGACAGCTGCGTCAGTCAGTCGACCAAGCAGGCAGAGAGAGAACCTGACCTGCTGAGTCCCTGGCTGTCACCTTTGGATTACTTTTGCCCAGCAATGGACCCCATCATTCCCTGAGGAGAACTGTGTCATAGTATCCATATATTCCTTCACAATTAGCTGCACAATTTGGCCATGAGATTTGCCTCTTGCGTTCAGTTGTACATTAAAAATATGTTTTAAATCGATACATACGGTTAATAACAAAGATGTCCTTACAGTTTTTATCATAGCTTCAGGTTGTCAAAGGACACTCATTTTCATGAAGCATCCCCATCCATGATGGTCCAGAGTACATTTCTAAACGCATCTTTTGTATCTTAATTAGATCTGTCCAACAACTTTCCTCTCCATGCACGCTGATATCAGTGTCAACCAGTGGCTTTCTAAAAAAAGGAGAACACTGCAGCATGCCTATGGTCAGTCATATTTATTTGAAGTAAATGGGCTTAAACATGCATCGGTACGGTCCTCTTCAGAGGCGGATTAGGCTCCCAGTTTGTTGTCAAGCTTGAGAGTACCCAGACAGCAGCAGCCAAATGCAGACGGTGTCTGCTCCGTGTCTGGCTTCAGGAGCATCCCCATAGTTACAGAGGCACTCAAGACCACCCCAACAGCAGCAGGGGCACAGCAGTTACTCGCATACTTGATAATTTTTCTTGAATAGTCAGCCTATTGCCTTTAGGAAGCCTTTGTTTGAGTCTAAATAGCAGCGAGTTGTTGTTGTTGCTTTGTGTTTAGTCACATTCCTCCATCCTTGGTAAGGAGCTGCAGTAAGGAGGGTTATGTGTCCCAGGGGCCTGTGCACCCTGTAGTCTGGAGAAAGGCTCTCGCTGTGGGGGTTTATTATGTTTGAATTCCCTGGGCCCTGTCTATTGTGATGAGCTCTGTCCTCGCTCTTTCGCTCTGCCTCTGTGTCTCTCTCCCTCCCTCTCTCTCTTTTGCAGCCCCCAGGGCCAGACGGAGTGCACTGCAGCCTGCATGGCAATTGCATAATGCTCTGTTCCCTCCTGCTCTCATTCCTCATTCTCTGCACCCCCCCATGTGCTGTTGATTCACTCTGCTGCAGCTCCCCCTCTCATTTATTTATGCATAGCTCCAGCACAAGTGTCTTCTGATGGAGCTGATGGAGGAGGCTGGAGGAGATATAGGCCAGGTCTTCCTTTTGTAAGGCTGTGTGCACAGGCTGTCATGGCCTGATAGTCATGCGTTTTCTATACAGAGGCCACTCTAACAGACCGATCCATGTGGACAGCTGAGGATCTATTATCAGGGCTGCAGTGTTAATCATGTGATTATTATTGTGATTTTGAATACCTCTAAGCAATCTCATTCTTATAACAAGGGTTCTACTGTACATGTATTGGGAAGAGATTAGTTACATTTAAGCACTGCTCAGTTCTACTGTGTTGGATCAACAAATGTGATAAGTATAACAAATGCCACATGACAAACTTCATAAACAAAGTAGTCATAAACAACTACCGTGTGTGCTGAAAAAAGAAGAGTACTCTAAATTTCTTCTCCCCTCAATAGCAGACCTTTTTTGGAACAGACTTGATTTTATTCATAAACTTTTCCCCAACAAATGAAACTGAGTCACAGGTAAGCTGCAACTAATGATGATTTTAGTACTTGAACTTCTATAGATTATTTCATCGATGCATTGTTTAAGCGTCATTAATAATAAGTTGTCAGGTGGTGCGACCAGCTAAAATATTGATTTAAACTGATAAATAATAGGTTAAAGCGAACATGTGGTTCACAACAATGATGATCATGGATACTGTATTGAAAACGTTTTTTTTGTAGAATTTTTTTTCCTCCATCAATAAATGTAAAATTGGATGCTGAAGATACTAAATAGCTGGCCTCTACAATGCAATAATCTTAGATAATTTGACAATTTAACAATTTGCTAAGCCTATAGATGCTCTCGGGAATGCTTGCCAAAGCTATAACTTAGAATGAATAGTAGGGAAAAAATATTTTACATATATTTTTTTCTTTCAAATACAAAAAAGGTGTTTTAGTCAATAGTCTCTATTGAAGTAAAAGTAATGAACTGATTAAAAACAGGATACATGATATCTCATTCAGTAAAACAACTGGAATAGGCTAAAGTCCTGTGGATACACTGTATTAGATTTTAATTGAACAACAATGTTTTTAATGTTCTCTCACTGTGCTTTCCACTGTTGCCTCACTATTTGCTATTCTGTTCTGGACCACTGGCTAATTGGGAGTTTCACAGTTTTCCCTCTATCTTCCTCCTCAGATAACTATAAATAGGGATCTTCAGATCCGAGTCATTTAATATTTAGTATCTGCCAATTCCGAGTCCCGATCCGATACTTGTATTTTACTAGATAATACAGTTGCACAGTCGACACTTCAGGATGGTTATGTTTAATTAAATTTCTCTATCCTTAAAAGTATCCTAGTGTGTTGCTTCGTGGCAGCTTTCGATTGAGTTACCTTTTACCTTTTTAGTATTCATTTTTTAGGTGCCTTATTAAATTGGTAGTATTGAACGCAGCAGTAGCGTCTACGGCGGCTTCAGCAGTAACAGGAGGTTGGACCAAACACGTAACCTGCAGGTAAGACAAGACACATGACTATTAAAATATCGAAGAAGATTATATCGTCTATTGTTTCACACCAAAATAGTGGCGATGCGTTGGCTGGCGAGCGACTGACAGAAGCGTTTTCTGAGGCTCGGCTCAGCTCCTGGCTAGCTAGCTGTTCCTAGACTGCTGTGTTGTTGTGTTCGCTGTGTTGTGGTCACATCGCAGACTGGTGTGCTAGGTTGACGGCCAGTTTGCTAGGTATGTTTGAACGATGAACTCGGCTACCAGTAATGCCAGACTCTAACGTTAGACTCACATTAACGTTACGCAGAACAGCTTCCATACAATAGAACAACAAAACCCATAATGCCAGTGTTAACTAGAAGGTAACTTAGCTGTTCACAGGCACTCAGCACACGTTCACTTTAAAATGAACCAACGGTTAGAACCAGCGAGCTTTGCTGGTTGGTGAGTGTAACTTGCATTTCTTAGTAGCTAGGTGCCACGTCCAGGTTACATTAGCTGCCGTAACCAGTTCATTTGTTGTTGTGACCGCGCAATATTAGCCGGATTGCTTTACTAATATGAAAGTGAAAGACGACATCTACACACAGCTGCCTCGATTTTTATTTGTAGCGGGTTGTTCAGCCTTTTAAAGTTAACACAACTCCGTGTTATGAAAATAAACAACTGTTTCCTGTTAAAATTCTAGTTATATGGGTCTATTAACTAAACATTGTTCTTATTTTGTATTTTCAGATATTTCATGCATGGTCTCTTCAGGATGGTTATGTTTAATTAAATTTCTCTATCCTTAAAAGTATCCTAGTGTGTTGCTTCGTGGCAGCTTTCGATTGAGTTACCTTTTACCTTTTTAGTATTCATTTTTTAGGTGCCTTATTAAATTGGTAGTATTGAACGCAGCTCTTCTGAAGCTAGTAAACACAACCTATTCCCATGAAAGAGAGTGTAAAACATTATTAATTTAAAACAACTTTTTTAATTTTAATTTTCAATCCAAACATTAGTCACTTTAGAATAACTTTCGTTGCAGTTGCGCCACCTGACATACTTTACAACTTATTTCAAATGAAACGGGCTTATAGTATGAAACTTGTATTGACATGTTTGCTTTTGTTAGCAAGTTTATACATATATTGTTTGGATTAAATAAAAGGTTTTATGATAAATTAATAATTTA